TAAACTTACTTAAATCAGACCGTATCTTCATTTTATATCTTTTCGAATTAGATTTAGTACACTTGGTTATGATTTTTATGCAAAATAATAAATAAAAAAGACTGACTAGGCTAGAATTAACGCTGAAATATTGAAATTTTGAAAAATTTTGACAGCTTTTTGACAACTATAAACATTCCTTCTAAGGAAAGGAGAAGGGGTATCGCTTAACAAATGTTTTATTAGGGTATTCGTTTGTGCTGTTGTTCTATAAAATACTTAACAACAATAGGCTTTTAAAAAGAGTAGCAGGAGCTATTAATTAAAACTGGAAAGCTTTGAAAAGTTATATATTCAACCGACTTAAAAAAAGGAGGAGGTTATCAATTCGTCGCGATATTTTTTTTTATGTATGTATGTTCAGCAATAATTCTTTAACACCTTGTCCGATTTCAATGATTCTTTTTTTGTTAGAAAGGGGGTACTTCAGGAGTGGTCCCATATAAATTTGGTCAAAATCTAATAATTGGGTCCATGAGAAAATCCTCAAACTCTTCATTTTTTATGTATGTTTTTAGCGATAATGCTTTACCACCTTGTCCGATTTCAATGATTCTTTTTTTGTTAGCAAGGGGGTACCTCAGGGGTGGTCCCATATAAATTTAGTTAAGATGTGGTGATGGCATCTGCACGTTTTTGTAGTCGGTTTTTTTTAATTTTTAATTTCTAATACTTGTTGGTATATTACATGCAAAAAAACTTGGCCTCAAAGAAAGTGGTACACGTAGAATCTGCTCCAAAAAATCGTTGCTTGTGGTTGACTCTTGGTTCTATTTCATATGCGATGGAAATCGATATGAGGTTGTGCTCGGTATATAAAAGATACATTCACGAAGAATGTGTTGGTCTATCTAAGGCCAATAAAGAAATCTTTATTTGTCCAGATTGTTAGACTTAGTTTTTTCATTAACAAGAATGTCACTGTTTATTTAGTTTTTCATAAGAATGTTCCTTTTTAGTTTATTTTTATAAGATTCCTTTTTATTTTGTACCTGGGTAGAATTTACGATATGATTAAGTGTAAATGTAAATAAAGTTTTGTTCTTTATTTTGCTTATTTCAGTGTTTTCAGTGATGTTCCTAATACTGCCACTACATGGCAATATTTGGGTTACATGTTGCAAATATTGTCATTTTGCAATGTTTTAAAAAAATGCTAAAATTAAAATTACAAATAAATGGTATACGTTCCATATTTGACTGTTTTCTATAACGTACAGGTTGATCTAGTTGAATATGTTAAAATAAAAAAATTAAAATCCTTAGGGTGGCAATAATTGGCTTAGGTACCTTAAAATGATAGACGCCATATTGGATGAGACACTGGATGACTAAAATTTGTAATTCTGATATATTCATGAAATTAAATGCCATAAATTGGTCATAATGGTTATTTAGTAAGTAATACCTAGTATTACAATTATTGTAACAACATTTTACTATAATAAACTTTTGTATTTATTTTTCTTTATATTTTATCATTGTGTGTACACTAAGATAGAAGTAGGATTAATTAGGTCATAAGTGTAAGCTTTTAAGGAAAATATGATTTAAATTTTTTATAATATATTACTATTCTTACTCAATTAAATTAAATTCAAAATAGCATCCATTACTCGATTGATTTATCAATTGTTTGAATGGCCTTTTCTCTCAATTGACAAAATCATACTTATAACCTTCTAAGTACCGACTACACAATTATTTTTTATTTGTTACAAAACTAAATAAATAAATTTTAATATTATATGAGTCTTAAATAATAAAAAACACGGTACGCGCCCCTGTTCGTTTCAAAGAGCGAGAACGAGACGAAAGCGAGAAGGAGAATAATTTGAACATTATACAAACAGCGTGGCCGCCCCGGGCAGTAGGCGAGCTGCCCTAGGGCCCATTGGGCGCGCTGTAAAATATGCTGCCCCCGGGGCGTCCTTGTGTGTTGCGTCGGTTTCGACGGCCCGCGGCCAACTTCACGAATTCCACGCTGTCTGTCTCTCTTCTTCTCTTTTCTGTTCCCGGCCGCGGCATGGGTAACCGCCTCCGGCCGCTTGGGGCACTAGAGAGCGCCGATGTGGAGACGGCGGCCAAAAATTCACGTAATTCAAAATATTTTTTATAATATCTAACTAGAATTAGTGATAATTAACATGTTACGTATGGAAGAGGTTATACAATTTTGATTTTTAATTATTAAAGAATAGTTATTTGTGTACCAAGGCCGTAAAGTTGATCTCCCTTTGTCGAATCAGAAATGTTTGGTTAGTGATTAGTGCATTTCATGTTCTTGTCGTTTCTTGTTGTTTAGAGTTTTCCTTCTATAATAATCTTAGTTCCTTAATATTGTAATGTGAGGCTTCTGACCAATCTGGTTATTCCCTGATTATTTGGGCCTTCTTTGCAACTTCACTTATCCTTAAAACCCAGAATAATTGATGAAGGGTATAAACCACCTTTACCCAACTATGGGGACGTCTATGCTTTCAGAAAGCCAATATAAATCAATTATTTGGGAATGTACTGGAAGTAAATTCGAAAAATTGCTGGAGAGGCTTTTCTAATAAATGGTGAGAAAGAGAATAATCTAGCGCATATACCAATTTGTATGTAAATGGGCTGTGTTGCACAGGAAGTAGTTCACTTGAAGTCGAGTCATAGCAGTGAGAAGATCCATAAAGTAAATGTGATATAAACTAATTATATCAACATTTATACTAATATAACATCAAGATTGTCTTACGATTATGTTTGATTGTATATCGGCCTTCCCTTCCAATAAAAAACAGAAATTCGTTGCTAAATAATATGTTTACAAACTTTTGGCAACTGTCAGTAATATAATAATTACCAAAAATAAGTTATACACAAAAAAAACGATAAAAAGCAAAATGAGTGGATATTGATAATCCAGCCAAAATTTATGAAGCTGCAGCAACTTTGAATTTATTACCAGGAAAATACCGGAAAATCTATTTAAAAGTTCTCAGCCTGACAATGAAAAACTGCGATTTTTAGTTAAAAAATGATTTTAATTTTCTACATAATCCCTTCACTTCAACACAGTTGGTCTAGCATGTCTTCGATATCAATATTTCTTCCCGGAAGTGAGAGTATGGAAAATATTCATCTACAGCCCTTTCAACTTCTTCATTTTTCCGCGAAACTCTTCAAATGGAAGTCTGAGGGTGCCATATCAGGAGAATAATAATAATGGACGAGCAAATCGTACGCCAAATCCCGCAGTTTTTCCATCATTAACGCACGCTTGCGTGCAGGTGAGTTGTCCTAAAAGAAGATTTTTTCTTCTTCAAGCCAGGCATCTTCTCGTGAATTTTGGCATTCAGCTGGTGAAGAAGATTGAAGTAATATTCTCCTGTAGTTGTTCTGCATTTTTTAAGATGGCCATGATCTTTCCGGCAGATACTATCGACTTCGCTTTCTTTGGCGCTAAACCACCGGCGTTCACCCATTGCTTGGACTGCTCTTTCGTCTCTGGCATGTAGTGGTGGACCCATGTCTCATCCATGGAGACAAATCGCCGCACAAAATCGGATCCCTATTGAATCGGTCCAAACAGGCGACACCCATCTTACACAGAGCTGTCGCATTTCTAATATTTTGTGCAATATATTTCGCAGCATTTTTTTTTCGATATCCTCACAGCCACACCTTCCCTCGCCTATGGTCCAACACATGCACTTTCGATGGTTTCCGGTGTGCTGGCTGTTTTTGGCCGTCCTTAACGTGGGTCATCTTCGAGGGACTATCAATTATTCATCTTTATTTGACAATATGAAAAGGATCAAAGATCCAAGATAGGTTGTGCCCTCCTGAGTTGTGCTTGGCTCCTCAGATGGGCTAATTTTAAAAATATGTATTTTTATTTTTTAATTAGTAGATGGCAGATATATATTAGATTTTTTCATTCGTCCCACTGGTGTAGGAATGAACTACACCAACGGACACTAAACCTTTCGTTTGGCCCGGTGTAAAACCCACTATGCCTTCCTGTCGGCGATGTGGTGTCCACTGGTGGATATTTTCTCCACTAGTTATTTAATAAGAATGAATTACACTCGACATATGTATAAGGAATAAGGAGGAAGTAAATTAGGGTAAATAAGGTGGTGTAACTGGTGTAATTTACATTGGTGGACACTGCACCAACAGCGAACGAAAGAACCTTAAAAGAGAGAAATAAATACTCTTTCAAAAAAGTTGCCAGTCGACACATCTTACAATTTAGAATTATAAAGATTATCTGTGTCCCTATGCAACGATTGGAAAAAGTGGTAATAAATACTTTATAAGAAACGTACTTCGACAGAAATAAAAATCGATGAATTTCTGGAAAATTTTGCACTAAATGAGTTTACACGGTTTATTAAAATAAGACTAATACTTTGTTAAATATATCAATAAAGCCAATACATTATAATTATTATTGCAACAAATCGAAATTTTAAAATTTATTAAAGGAATCCAATACTCCTATAGACATCTATTGGGTAGAAGCTGAAGCTGAAGCTAAAGCTGTAACAAAATATTAGAACTCGTTCCCGTGAAAATTTCAAAAACTTTTCATAGATGTCACGAAGAGTATTATTTAAAATTAAATATATTTCATAATATATAGGGCGTTTCATTATCAAGTCTTGGTCTTTTACAACATACGTAACCCATTTCTTAACCTTTTGTGAAATATTTCCGAAACTTGTGCTTGAAATGTAATATGTTTCAAACGTTTGAAATAAATATGTCTGAAACATTTCTGAAGTAATGTGTGCTATATGGGAAAATGTAAATGTTTCAAAAATAAAAACCTACTTTTCATTAAACAATATTTATTAGATGACAACACTGATACAACTGAGTTTTTTTTTTTAATAAATCAGTCATTTTGTTCAATATTTTTTGGCGATTAATAAACATTAATCAAATTAACAGAAATGTAAAATGTGTTTCTTCAAAGTTTTTGTTTTTTTTTTTTTAATTTATTTGAATTAAATATGCACAAGTCTATAAAATAAATACCTTAGCAGCAAACAGTTAACTAAAATATTAATACCAATTGATAATTTATTTGAATCCAATAATGTGAATACATTGTTGTTTTAAAAGTCGTGTACTTCACGAGTTTGCACATTTAAGCCATACACAAACAGTACAATTCCTATTTTTTCAAACGCTTTTTCAGGGATACGAGACAAAACTAACAAAAGACATAACTGTAAACTAAAAAGATTCATTACCGATGCAAGCTAATCAGACACAATAACCATATTATATCGCAGATAAGGATTTGGTACATTAAATTATCAGCTATAAACATCTTGGATATCATGGTTGGGGTACGAGACGAGGCCCATACCCTAATAGCACAGTATTGTTACACGAACGTTCCAGAAACATACCCTTGGGACATTAGAAACGTCTCTGTCATGTTTCTTATTCTCCCTCAAATGTACCTGGGATGTTTCTGGCAACGACCATGTCATCATTTGTAACGTATTAGAGACGATTCACAGAGATGTTTGTGGAACATCCTGCGATGTTGCTCAAACGTCTTAGGTAAGTTTTTTATACCATTGCTGAAACGTTCTTGAAATGACCTAAACGTTTTTAGTAGGATAATCAAAGCTATTACTTTTTTTACAAATTTATTTGAAAAATAATATTTTTGACACAAAAATAAAAAATGTTAATTATTACGCCACGATTCATTGCGTCTATTTCTTTCCGGAGCCCTCCACAACCAGTCATTTATTTTAATTTCCATTTCTTTTTTGTTTACCAATTTGCCGAATCTGAAAATGTTTCAATTAACTGACAATATAAACAATTGATATTAAGTTAAAATAATTACCCATAATGGCTTCAGCTATTTTTAACTTGGCGTCTTCTTCGTTTCCAGTGAATGAAAACAACCTACACAACTCGTTCCTTGAGGGGAGCTATGCATCTTCTGATACATTATCTAAAATAGTTATTTTTAAAGTTAACAAATAAAGAAATAAATAGAATGTATAAAAGCCACATTTTGTTAAAAGAAATTAAGTTACCTTCTTCCTTTTGGCTTGAATATCTTGCACGTAAAACGATTGTTTTTGCATTTTCCAAGCCTGATTAAACCTTAAATTAGAAGTGATTTTTCATGTAGCTTTACGTACAAACTATACACGTCAATCCGGCCGCCTATTATCACTTTTAGTTTATAGAGAAGTTGTTTATTACTTTTAAAACTTTTCCAAATTTTATTATAAGCGAGGCGAAACACCTTTTCATTATTTTCAACTGTCAACACTAATGAACTGTTTGTCATACGTCAATATTGTCATTGGATCATTATACGGTAGATGTGTTCGGTTAATACTCCGCGAGCAAATCAAATATGAGGTTTATTCCTTTTTATTGAAAATATCGTTCCATCCATACAATTTGTACAAATGGAACGATATTTTCATAAGTACTGTAGCTTAGTGCTACACTTTCAATGCAAAGAAATAGATTTCATCACGAGGACTTCCTTCAATAGTGTATTTTTTTAGCTCGCGGTGGATTAACCGAACTCTTCTGCTGAGCCAGAAGGAAGGGTATATTCATCTCTGTCGTATTTGCTTTGCAATCTTTTTTGAAGGAACTAATAAAGATAAATTTGGCCTTTAGCAGTTGTCTTGTGAAATAAAAATATTGTTCAAAATGTTCAAATTTAATATTGGAGTTTGATATGATTGTAGATTTCTAGTGATTGTAGTAATTTTATAATTTATTGATATTTCAAAATAATTAAAACGAAAATAGAATACCTAAAACATTATTACGATATTTCTAAAACGTTCTTGAGAAATCATTCCAGAAACGTTTCTTTAGAGACATCGTAGGGACGTACCATTTATGTCAGAAACATAGAAACATACATGGAACCTAAATGGGATGTTCCTGGCAGATCGGTGTTATTAGGGTAACCCTCCAGTTCAGGCAAAAAGGACAGGGCGAAGATTTACGACGAACAATGTGTACATGTAGTTGTGAATTAGTACCTTTTAACATTGTAAATAAATATTTTTAACTTAACTTAAGTATAGTTCGGAATAAATTCAATTTATATTCCAGAAATAAATTTCCATATCTATACCACACCAACTCCATCAAAAAAGCCACCCCCGCTATACCGTAACCAAGAATTAACATCAAAAATGTAACGCTAAAGTGCTTCAAGCTCAACGCTAGTATTTCGTCAGATTTAGACGTTGATTTGTTTTGTCGTTTTTTGTAAATCGAAAATCCGTACTGTTGAATTCTTAGCAGCCATGTGTTGAACCCTCTACAATAAGGCGAGTTCTTTTGGAGTGAGTAAACGTTTACGCCTGGCAATAGAGATTCATCGACTACTGTATATATTGGAAGGCCGTTACTGTATCTTAATTCGTTGCTAAAGAATGTAGCTGCATCTTTTCGTACTACGAAACCATAATACAACTCAGTTACGTTTATGAGTTTCAAAATGTACTCTGGTTGGAGGACTGGTATGAATTTATCATTCAAACCTAAAGAATCCGAAATATACCCGTTTTCTATATAATAATCTGCTATGTAAATGCTCAAATTACTCTTTCTTAACTCTTCCAAAGTACTGATAGGTTTTTTCGCTCTGACACTGACTAGTACGCTTATTAAAGCCGGTCCAAAATAGTTGCCCATAATCATGAAAGCGAATATGAGCAGTAATAGTAGAGCTTTAAATTTCCCTTTAAATTTGTTCAGATTGCACGCCGGATTTAACCAAAAAATAGCCCATAGAGTTATGCAATAGAAAGAAAAATCAATTTTGTTGATTTTGTTGATGAAACTGAACAGCGAAAGTAGGAGTAGCACAAGCAACGCAAACGTATAAGCGATGGCATTGTTGAACTGCACTAGTTGAATTCTGGGTTCCTTTTTGGGTGTTGGTACCATGACGACTTTGTGGTCTACGCCGAATGGGTACGATGATGTTGAATTTCCGAAATAACCAGTCTAAAAAAAATTTAGAATTATTGGATTTTGAAAATATAATGTGTTAAATTTAAATTGTAAGACTGTCAGGTACAAGAACCTCCATGTAATTTTAGTACTCTATTATACTTTAGACGTTTAGACGGTGAGTAAATTTAGCTACAATTCTACATTTTAACCTTAGATAAAAGAGACCAGAGATATAACATACACCGGTGTTTAACCTGCGCAAATGTTGCCAATTTCTAAAGAAAGGTTAACGGAGTGGGGGAACTGGGCAGGGACTCGAACTCTGTGACAGGGACCGGACTTTGTTTATTAGCATCATAATGAACTATTAGATTTATTTAAAATATACGTTTAATGGAATTTTGTATTATGAAATCAATTTAACGTGATTTTTTAATATCAAACAGATGCCACGACATTTTATGTAAAGAGAAGACCTTTAATAGAATATTTCGTTAGCTATTATTTACTATGGACTTTTCTGTAAGAGACTACAGTAAAATGTTGAAATAGAATATTGTTAATCGATTAAGAAATAGTACTCATTGTCTAAGAGTATTATAAAAAAGCATGTGCGCAGGCGAATACTGCAAATCAAACCTTGTGAGTTGAACATTATATTTTTTCTACGACTATCACATAATATTAAAATTTAGTCAAAATGAGAAAATGCTGTTTTGTATTATAACCTCAGAAAAAGATATATTAAAGCTTGTTTCTTTAGGAATATTAATTAATATAGAGGATGCGTCACATAAAACTCTAGAAATGTATATGTCTGAAACCAGATAACATTTTAAAATTTAAACCTATTAAAAGTCATTTGGTCGCTAGGAGTGGGTGATTATCGAAATAAATTATTGATCATTAATAATAATCGATTATTTTCAATCAATCGATTATTTTCAATCAATCAATTATTTTCAAACAATCTATTTTTGTTCGTATTTCCTTTAAAATTGACTACTTGGTTATATTTAAAAAATAAAAGAAAAATAAATTCATTAAAAAGCCAATTAACCGATAAATCAGTGTTTACAAAAAATAATAAACGAATTATCGTTTATTTTAAATAATCGATTATTTTTAATTTCTGTTTTTTTTTTCGTATTTCCATTGAAACATTATTCCATAATCTTTGAAAAATCTAAAATAATCGATTAATCAAAAATAATCGATTAATCAAAAATAATCGATTAATCAAAAATAATCGATTAATTAAAAAGTCGAATAATCGATAAATCGATTTTTCAAAAAAAAAAAAAGAATTATTTCCTATAAAATCAATTATTCGATTATTTTTGAAACATCGAAAATAATCGATTAACGGAAAATAACCAATTAGAAGATTCTACGATAAATCGATTTTCCAAAAAAAAAACTGAATAATTATTGATTATTTACAAATAATCCTTTTCTTTTTTTATATTCCTTTTAAAACTGATTATTTAATTTTCTTTGAAAAATCGAAAATAATTGATTAATAAAAAGCTGATTTACCGATAAATCATTAATTCTAAAAAATAACCGAAATATCGATTATATAATATAACCGATTATATTCGATCAATCGATTATTTTTATATAATCTATTTTTTGTATTTTAAAACAAATTATTTGAATACCTTTGAAAAATCGAAAATAATCGATTAATACAAAATAATCGATTAATCGAAAATAATCGATTAATTTCAATAAATCGAATATTTTGAATAAATCTACTCTTTTTGTAATTCCTTTATAATCGATTATTCCATTACCTAAAAAAACGAAAAAAAATATTAAAAATGTTCGATTAATCAAAAATAATCTATTAAAGATAATCGATTAATTATAACGGATAAATCGATTTTCATGAAAACGATAAATCGATTATTTTTGTAACCCCTATCGGTCGCACGCTTTTATCAGAGCATTTAGCTCCAAAATTTAGAGATTCGGATTTATTGATCCTGTTATCTTTGAAACCGCATTCGATTGTATAATAAATATTGCTAGAATTTAGATTTTTTTAGTAAACGAAGATATTTTTTGAGTTGTTTAGGGGTTTATAATGTAACATTTTACTAATAATATGACTAATTTCCGTAACTTTAGTATTTTTTGCTTATACTAGATCATATTGCGCGTTTTACTTTGTTTTAAGATTCAAATGTCACTTCTGATTTAACCGCAAAAAAATAAACCTTGAAATTTTAAGTAGGTGTACCTGTATTTCATCTAATATTCTTGTAAAAATATCTAATAAAGGGCTAAAAACCACTTTTAGTAAATATTCTTATAAAACTACTTTTTAAAAACAAAATTTCGTTAGTAACAATGCCTATTTACTTCTTATTTAGATTAAATATTTATTGAAACCCCTTAATGCGGATCTGAAGTATTCAGCTCAAAGAATCATGGCGACTTTATGTCAAAACGTCAACAAATATTTTCCGCTGAAAACGAATATATTTCTTATTTTTCATAACATTGACACATATTATTTGTATATACAATTTTTCACCATACATCGTGGCATTTTCAACTTGAAATTGAATAACTAAAACACTTTAAATTGCTAATAACACCAACAAATAATTCAAAAACGGCAGCAATAAATGATTTACTCACGCGGAGACAAGCAAAGAATAGAAATTTCGGAGCAATTCGGGTGGCGTCGTGAACACAATGATTTTTAATTGGTGGGTTACTTAGGTTTGGAATATACAACATGCGCAATGTGCAATGTTACATCTCCGGTCTCTTTTATCTAAGATTTTAACTTACATTGTGGAGACCTGTATATTCCTATAAGAGAAAAAGTATAATATACATATTATGTGAAGAAGGATCCCCGATCTGACGCCCCGCTAACCCGTTCAGTCCACCCGCCGACTATAATTGGTGAGCCTATCCGTTTTTGAGTAGTGTACTAAGTATTATTCTGTTCATAACTTTTGTAATAAATCATAACTTTTAAAAATCTAAAAACAAAGTGGAAGTGAGTAAAAATCGCAATGTCGTAAATTTAATAAAACTATTTAGGATAAAAATAATTGGTTGTGTGGTTGCGAAGAAACTAATAAACTGTTTTGTTTTGTATGTGTTTTGTTTGGAGGTGACGATACTTGGTCAAAAAAAGGCACATACGATCTTGTCCATATATAGGATAAAATGAAATCCTATGAAAAGTCTAAAGTTCACATGATTAATGTTTTTAGCTTTTCCATGCTTGGTAAGTTAAATATAAAAACCCAGTTAAATTTGGCTTATCGTTAGGCTCTAATTAAACATAATCAACAAGTGGATAAGAATCGATATGTTTTAAATCAAATTATAAATTGTATAAGGTTTTGTGGAGCTTTTGAGTTAGCTTTAAGGGGTTACGATGAGAAAGATAATTCGGAAAATAGAGTCATATTTAAGGACCTTGTGAATTTTAGCGCCGATGGTTGATGGTTGTTTATTACACCTGTCGCGTGTTATAGTGGGACCAAAAATTATTGAAATGTTCAAAAACAATTTTAGCGCGGATTTTATTAGAAACAGAATCCTAGGTGCACTGTATTCCATGAGTATATTAAAATGCTTTACCTATACAATTTCATCAGTCTAAACCTAAACCATTTCATTTTACGTACCTCAAACAGTCTAACCATGATCACGTCAGCCTGGTTAGTGTACAAGTACATAGATGTACCATTTTTCAATTGATAATCTGTCGTTCCTATAATTTGGATAGATGCATTCAGTCCTTTTGCTATATGTTTTAAATTATCGATATCTTGACCTTTCCATCTGCCATCACAGTACATAGAGTATGGGACTCTGTCAAAAACTGCCGCTCTTAATGGAGCACCATTTAGATTTTTAGCCTAAAAAATATGGAAAGTACTTATTATATAGATACCTATAAGTGGAACGATTTCTGCTACAGCTCTGTGTTTTTGGGATATCTTTGACATTTATTCTATCTTAGACTGGGATGATTCACTGACTGAGAATTTGCTATTAATCTTTATTTATTAACAAGTTGTTATATAAATATTATCTACACCTTTGTACTGTCCACTACTATACTGTTATATTAGTTTCGTTATATAATTGGGATCTACGTCAATTCATCGCCCGACAATTCATCGTAAGACGATTCAGCACTACGACAATTCACCGCCACGACAATTTGTCGCCAGCCATTTTTTAGAATTCATTTTATGGTTTATTTTATTTTTTTTATTATAATCAAAATTTTATTTTATATATTTTTAGTATAGGTAATAAAAAACAAGTAGGTATATATATATATTGAAAAAAAATATATTATAAAAAATTGTAGTTGCTAGTTATTACATTTTAAATTGAATTAATATAATATAATAATATTAAATAATTTAGACTTGCATTCGAAAATTATGCGCAATTCCTCGAAGATATTCCATGGTATTACGAGCGTCGTAGGATTCTGTAAGTAGTTTTAAACGACGTGCAGAATCTTTGTAAATTTTTTTTGAGTAATTTCATTACCTGCCACAATTTGTTCTATTTTCAATTTGTTAAGGCTTTCCTCCTTTTGTAAAGCCTTAATTAGCCTCCAAATGTTGGGATGTGCAATGGAAACAATTGAACTGAAACTGTTATGCCATCCTTCAACTGCATTATTGGTTCTAGCAATTCCCTCTCTGGCTGCATTGTAACAATTCCAAGAAGATATAGGAAATTTTGGTAACCGTCTTCTTCCTCTTCTGTCTAATCTACCAATCCACGTGTCTTCAAAATAGTTTATTAAATCTGCTAAGTCCTCGTTTTCTGCATAGAATTCACTTTCCAATAATAAATCAGAAGCACTCTCTACATCGTCTTCGGGAACATAAGCAAGTGCAGCCAGAAGTCGCAAATTTGATGAAAACACTTCTTCATCCACATATCGCCTCTGAAATCCGGTATTCTGGATTTGTCTCCATATACACTGAGAAAACTGAAAAAAGCATCCACGAATTTGAGTATTAGGGAATTCACTTCGTACCGCATTTATCGCTGCTTTTTCGAAATCCATTAAAAAAGATGTAGGGCAAAGTTCAGGTTTCAAATTTTTTAATGCTGCATATAAACGTCTATAGCTTTCTTCTCTTTTATTCGGCAGAATTGCATATACTGTTGGAATGGTATTTGAATATTTGACGCCATGGATTGTATATATTTGGGAAAACATATTAGGGGCTGTTGAAAAAGTTCCATCTTCGTACCAGTGTTCACACTCCAACATGTAGTCAAGATTTCTTGCTGTTGTAAACACTAATATTCGATCTTCTGATGGGCCGCTGTCGTACATTAAAAATAACTGACCACTGCTTGTCAGTGTATATTCCTGTGGAATAACTAATTGAAGCAGAGAATTTGGAATCGCAGGAATTCCTTCTGTCTTTTCCTTTTTTCGTTGAATAGTTCTTTTCATTGCACTCACTTGTGGTAATCTGGCTGCAGCCGATGATGATAAACCCTCGGAAACTTTTGCAATGACTTGTTGAGTAGTGGATTCACTTTGTTCAGCTAAAACTTTCATTTTTTTAACAGCTCTTCTTACTTCGGCATCAGCACTATCTGACACATGATTATGTTCGGTACTCTTCACAATTTCATCGCCTATGGTATGAATGCGACCGGTACATCTCCATTTATGATATAGAGAACATTTCCAAATACCTTTTTCTTCAGAATTTTTTTCTCTAGAATATGTATGGCCATTGTATAAAAGCATTTTGTGACCTCTTTCGCTGTCAACAAATTGTAACGGCATTTTCAAATTTTACAATGATGTAAACTCGTACAAAGACAAAATAAGAATGATTACAGTTCGTTGGTATTTCTTATTTAAACCTTATATACATATAATATAAACAGGGCATCTAAAATACTAACTTACACAAACAAGCTATTGAAGATAATCCTTTTTAGAATTAAATATTGATTGCACTATGAATTTCTCCTTGAAAGGATTAATAAAGGATAATTATAATTCTCTATTATTATTAACTAATGTGGTAACTTACCCGAATTGGCTAATGAAGATAATCCTTTTTAAATAGCAGGTAAAGGACTGTTGAGAACCTGCGACTGCCGCTTATACACTTTAAATTGGCTTATCAATAATACATTATTGATATTTATTATATTTTTCTCAGTAAAAACTACTTGATTAGCAGAAAAAAAGTAAATCATATTTTTGTGTAATTTAGAGTAAGATATTTTGTAATTTTTTCGAAAAAATAATTTTATTTGGTACTTATAAGAAAAATTCAATATAGCACAAAAAAATTGTTTGTTTTTCAGACATACTGTATAAATCATAGATACATTACGATATTTTTGTGGCGATGAATTGTCGTAGCGATAAACTGTCGTAGCGATGAAAAGTCGTGGCGATGAATTGTCGGCTCTGAAAGGTCGCGCGATAAATTGTCGCGCGACGAATTGACTGGATACCATTTAATTGTCATTACTATTGTCAGTTATATGGTTGTATTTTGAGCTTATTAAAGCCTATAATTCTGAGGTTTTCTTTATTACACAAGTCTGTACACAATTACATTGATTTAGAATATACAAGGCGATATACGATTTATCTATGAAAGACCGTACGACTGTAGACAAAAATATATATTACAAAAACGTCTTACCTTATCTCTGAACATCATTTGACATTTTTTTCCATACTTTCTAATTTTCTTTATTTTATTTATTTCGAAGGGATAGTAGGTATAAATTTCCAATTCATCTCGAACGAAAACTACGATAAACCTTGATATATTTTTCTCCCATATGTACGGGAGCAATTTTTCCAAAAAATCTTTATTTTTAACTGGTTTAGTGATGATGAATATAACTTTTAGTAGCGGTTGATAGTTTTCATCCAAAGACAATGTATCAGCAACGTTAAAAATATCATCCGAAGAATTGATGAATAAGTAAATTTGATTGACGTTGAATACATATTTAGATTTTTGATTAAATTTGTCGTATAGAAGTATAGTGCAGTTCATTCGAGAAATGAACCAATTGGTGATATTTAATAAATCGCTTGGTATATTTCGGCTAAAATTGCAGGTTTGTGAAACGAAATTCGAACACTTCGAAATTTTTTCAAAAAACTTGTACAGCTTTTCTTCAACCAAACTTTTCCTAACCAAAATTAATGGGTTAGCGACAACCTGAGTAATGTATATAAATAATATGAAATATTTAATAAGCATGTTTCTTCTACGATGCTGTTGATACAAATAACTTAACAATATCTAATACAGTTGAGTGTTTTATTAGAATCAATAATCTATATTTCATTTCTCAGTTTTATTTTTCAAAATAATATTTATTCTAAATTGAAATGAATGAATTCTAATGGAAAAATACTCTAAATTGAACTCTCTCAATTATATTTATTAATAGTGAACTTGGGTAATATTCCATTAACTATCGTATCTATTATTAAAGACAAGACATTCTAAAAAAAATATATCATGACGTAGGTACCTGAAACAAATATTCAGGGAATTTGACGGAGAAAATTAATAAATTTCTTAGGTATTTTGACAATTTAAGCATCTTAAACTTATGCAATTTTGATGCAATGTAAAAGCCATGCTAGACGTTGCATTTCATTTCACAATCGTTTTACATTTATGCAATTCTAGTGCAATTCAAATGGAGTCTGTCCAATGTCACCTACAGAAAAATATGGTCCAATCATTGGTGCCAATATAGTGATTATTATTCTGATTAACTTAGGTTGTAGCCATAGAAATAATATAGAAGACCAATATAAACATAACATTTAAGCAGAAATTGAAACCTACTGTGCATAAAAACGCGTCTCTGCGCCTGACATCGCAAAATAGTGTGTCTAGAAGCTTGCGCAATATGCATGACTTGTCCCTGTAGTGTTGCCAAATATATTAAACATACCTAACAGAAAAGAATTTTAAATTAATTAATTTTTAAATTATATGATTTAAACAGTTTATATCTACGAAATATCGCCACAAAATAACTTATACACATTTAAATAATCAACTAATAATATTTATGTGTAATTACATTCCCAAAAATATATACAAATACCGTATTAATGTCATTAATACCGTATTTTTAATGTTCAATAAGCGATTCACCTACAAATTCAATATTGACCTGGCAATAGCACTAAAATCCGGTGTTTCAAGGCTATATGACGCTGCCCTTACAGGACCGTTTGTAGTTTATTATTTATGCCGCGTTTGAGAATCCACATCGGATGCATCTGAGATGTAGTAAGTAGTAAATCTTTGATCACGTGATTCAGTATACGTAAATGTAATGGGACAGATGTGTCCGATGTGGATAAAAAACGCTCGAGATGTAAAAAATGCATCCGATGTGGATTCTCAAACGCGGCATTAATTACACGATGAAAGTGGCATTTTATTTTTAGTTTTGTGTAGTGTTTAGTCAAATCCTAGGTACAATAAAAGACATTTTTACATTGGCTAATGAAAATGTAATCAATGTATTAGGCAGCTGTTATATTTATTACAAGATTTATGTCTGCAAATCTAAACCTACCTAAGAATTATAATTATGTAAATAGAGAGCTGTATATTTATATACAGGCTGCCCAGCGACGGGGAGACATTATCGATATCGGTTTTAAGGCATTTTAAAACATAAACCCGATCTCAACAATCTTAGGAACTCTTCTGTCACTCGATATTTTAATCGGTACTTCCTCTTCGCTTTTTGGCTGGCACAACAATTATTTACATTTCTTCATTCCTTACCGCGTTCGAACCAGTAAGGTTTACAGAAATTTAAAAAAAAACCTACTTTAAAAATAAAGATGTTAATGATTTTCTTATGGATCCCATCTTCAGATCTTGACTTAATGTATATAAAACTGTTTCCTTTTCTAACAAAAATAATCCTAGAAATCGGGCAACGTGGTAAAGAATTATCGCTCAACATACTTAAAAAAATATTTCAACGAATTGAGAATATCCTACCATTTTGAAGTATGTTAAAAAAAATTGTTAATAAATTGAAAAGTAGGGCATGAACATATATTATAAAGTATATAAAATGATAGATAAATCCAGTTTAGAAGGTATTATAAATAAACTGTGGAAATATCGAGAATCTCGATTTTGAATCGGAAAAATATTCTACGCAATTTAGTATGAAAGCTGATCAAAATGAAACACATGAACGACAAACTGTTATTGACAACTTTCTTCAAACGTTTTCTATTTTTCCGAAAACTAACTAGATAGTTCGAAAATCATTTCCTTCGTTAAAACGCCTCTTGTTCCGAAAAAGGTACACGCCTGCCAACATTCATCGTTCATTAAAAAAGTGGTAGATACAAAACGCTTCGTATTGTAAGGCCAAAATATATTTAGAAATCGAAATAGTCATATAAACAAAAAAATCATATGAGTGAGATAACTACCAAATAAATGATTTACAAGTTTATTCCTATTATTTATAAAATAGGTTTGCAATGTGCTGGTGTGGAATGTTATCATCGACTAAAAACTTTAAATCTTTGTATTAAATTGATCGAAAACAAACTATAAATTGGTTTAGGCTATATAGAATGTTTCTAGTAAGCAGCAACTAATTTTTATTATGGAACCGAAAGACCCTTTTAAAAAGGTTCAAAATTAAAATAAAATATGTACCAAGTAAATGTAGTAGTATTTTTTAATTTTTTAATTTATATTGAAAATGGTAACATGAAAGGTTTTCTGTCTAACGACTCATAGTCTCGGCTGACAAAATGTAAAAAAATATCGAACATAATATTCCTGGGCCCTATTTTGCACTCCCCAGATTAAATTTAGTTGTAGCAAATGATATTATCAAATAAGATGTCAAATCACAAGCAAAATCTCGTGACTACAGTACTAATGATTGCCTGTTTGGAAAAGTATCTTTGTTTGTAAATATTTATATGCATAGTTATATTTAAATGCGCGAGTGTAATGTTAAGTATAAAATTATGTATATACGTTTAGTTACCGACCCTAGTAGATAGGCAATTTGTTATTGTTTTAAGTTTTACCGTAGGGAGAGAGAAAATCAATATTAGGATAAATGGTCCAGCTCCTTTCTGGTTACGTAGCTACCTTAGTTTTTGGTTAAGTAATTAATTATTGTAACAGTGATTTTCTTGTGATAGTACCTAATTTAGATTGTGGATTAAAGTTTTTGTATATAATTTCGCTGTTTAATAATAAACGTAGTCAAAACCGGAGCACGTGGTTTGTCTGGAAAGTATTTTTAAAATCACAAGCAAAATCTCATGACTACTGTACTAATGATTGCCGAAAATTAACTAATTCATATTTTATGCCATATCTTTCTTAATAAGGACTGTCAGAACCATATTTACCTTAACTTGAAATTTTTTAATCGTTTTTTGTATAGAATCATCTCTAAAAATGTATGATTGAAATATCGTGCGAACTATTTGTTCGATCAATAAAAAACTTGCACCGGTCCTGTTCGCGCCAGCACCGTTATACGCATGAGCTCCGACACACTATTTTCTCCTTATGGTTTCATTTTTGATATATGGAATCGGCTTTCTATACTATTTCTATGGTTGTAGCTAGTTCAGTGCGTTTAGAAACCTCGCACGGCGCGTCTGACCGCATACATTGGAATAGCGTCCAGACGCGCCGTGCGTGGTTTCTAAACGCACTCCTGTAGTTGAGAATATATTTGTTCCAACAACGAACCGAAACCAGTTATTGGCACCAGGATTCTGCGCAGTATATACTTGAGGGTCTTAATAATATACTGCGCAGAATCCTGGTGGCAATGACTGGTTTCTGACTGTTGTTGGAACCAGACGCGTTTTTTCACTGGTTCATTTCTGCAGTGAACACCCAGTTACATTATTTTTGATGATTTTTTGACCCCCCTCTCTCCTGGTGAAATTTCGTAAAATTTTCATCAACTCCCTCCCCCCTTGCCTAATCTCACATGAGATTTTTCAAAATTACTAAGGCCCTTTCTATGGGGCCTCAGTATTGCATTCGTGCAAACGAAAACATTTTCTGACCCCCATTTTTTAAAACTTTTTTTCATGTTTCTGATCATTCTGAGTCCAAAAATGCAAAAAAAAAATATTTCGTCTGTGTGTATGTATACCGGCACGTAGCTGTTATAAATCACAAATATTTCTAAAATGTAAAGAATATTCTTCTTTTACTGAGGCCCCCATTTTTTAAATTTTGTTTTATGTTTCCGATCATTCTGAGTCCGAAAATGCAAAAAAAAATTTTCGTCTGCTCGTCTGTGTGTATGTATGCCGGCACAATAACTCTAGAACGAAAGTTCTCATTGACTTGCGGTTTTGATTTTCTTGAATAATTACTTCTAACTTAGAACCCTATTGATTTTCAGAATTTTCGGTTCATCCTAACTACTTTAATATCGATTTTCTTAAAATCCGCCTATGCATTCCTTGTGACAATTTTAGGAATTTCAATTATTTCTAACGTCAAAATTCCTAACATTCTTTACATTCCATAAATTGCAAACATTCTCTAACGACCTGTCAAACAACAGCTGTTGATAGTAAAGGTGAAATTTCTAAAGCGGGTTGCGACCTTCATACTTGGCAACCATATCCATTTTGGAGGCTATTTTCATTCGAAATTAGTCGCCAAGCCTGCCAATTTATGAAAAATATATAAGCAGTTTCTTAAAAATGATTTTTTTATGGTGGTGCTATTAAGCGTATTACTATTTCGCCCCTAGCCACAAAAACACCTTCATAAAATTTACTGGCTCTCTGTCGCAACCCCATAGAATAATTAACCGGCCATTTTATTTGGCAAAAATCAGATTAATGCTTGGCTGTGCCTGTCAAGTATCAAGATGTCAACTGTGATATGTGAATGGCTCTTAAATGTCAAATTATTTAAAAATGTATACTTCTTTTGATATTTAATTTGTAGTGTATCTCAATTCAGGCTTTCCATAAATAAAGGTACAGCAAGACAGATAATATAATGTTCTTATACAAAGTACTTTTTTATATAAAAGAGAGGTACCCAGACAGCACACCAAATCCTTTGGATATCTACTGAACATCCCAATATCCACTGAATGTCCAGTCCATGGTAGATATATATTTTATATCCATGAGATGTAATTTAATAATAATAAGCTTTATTGTCTAACAGGTAGTCCCATTTACAAGACAATGCAATTAACA